TTGAAGATGTCGTTGAAGATGATGTACTGCTTGTTGTGGAGCTAGTTGTTGACGATGTAGTAGGTGAGGACGTGCTGCTAGTTGTTGAGCTTGTTGTTGAAGATGTCGTTGGAGATGATGTACTGCTTGTTGTTGACGATGTAGTAGGTGACGACGTGCTGCTAGTTGTTGAGCTTGTTGTTGAAGATGTCGATGGAGATGATGTACTGCTTGTTATGGAGCTAGTAGTTGACGATGTAGTAGGTGAGGACGTGCTGCTAGTTGTTGAGCTTGTTGTTGAAGATGTCGTTGGAGATGATGTACTGCTTGTTGTGGAGCTAGTTGTTGGCGAATTTGGATGGGATGACCTTATAAACAAAAATTTTCATTTTTTTCCCTGAAAGGGTTCTTTTTTGAATTTTATGGAAGACAAAAACTAACGACTCTGATGATGTCATTGTTTTTGTAGCAGTGGAATGTATTCGAATATTTGGCGAGTTTGTGGAGCTAGTTGTTGACGATGTAGTAGGTGACGACGTGCTGCTAGTTGTTGAGCTTGTTGGTGAAGATGTCGTTGGAGATGATGTACTGCTTGTTGTGGAGCTAGTTGTTGACGATGTAGTAGGTGAGGACGTGCTGCTAGTTGTTGAGCTTGTTGTTGAAGATGTCGTTGGAGATGATGTACTGCTTGTTGTGGAGCTAGTTGTTGACGATGTAGTAGGTGACGACGTGCTGCTAGTTGTTGAGCTTGTTGTTGAAGATGTCGTTGGAGATGATGTACTGCTTGTTGTTGACGATGTAGTAGGTGACGACGTGCTGCTAGTTGTTGAGCTTGTTGTTGAAGATGTCGTTGGAGATGATGTACTGCTTGTTGTGGAGCTAGTAGTTGACGATGTAGTAGGTGAGGACGTGCTGCTAGTTGTTGAGCTTGTTGTTGAAGATGTCGTTGGAGATGATGTACTGCTTGTTGTGGAGCTAGTTGTTGACGATGTAGTAGGTGAGGACGTGCTGCTAGTTGTTGAGCCTGTTGTTGAAGATGTCGTTGAAGATGATGTACTGCTTGTTGTGGAGCTAGTAGTTGACGATGTAGTAGGTGAGGACGTGCTGCTAGTTGTTGAGCTTGTTGTTGAAGATGTCGTTGGAGATGATGTACTGCTTGTTGTTGACGATGTAGTAGGTGACGACGTGCTGCTAGTTGTTGAGCTTGTTGTTGAAGATGTCGATGGAGATGATGTACTGCTTGTTGTGGAGCTAGTAGTTGACGATGTAGTAGGTGAGGACGTGCTGCTAGTTGTTGAGCTTGTTGTTGAAGATGTCGTTGGAGATGATGTACTGCTTGTTGTGGAGCTAGTTGTTGACGATGTAGTAGGTGACGACGTGCTGCTAGTTGTTGAGCTTGTTGTTGAAGATGTCGTTGGAGATGATGTACTGCTTGTTGTTGACGATGTAGTAGGTGACGACGTGCTGCTAGTTGTTGAGCTTGTTGTTGAAGATGTCGTTGAAGATGATGTACTGCTTGTTGTGGAGCTAGTTGTTGACGATGTAGTAGGTGACGACGTGCAGCTAGTTGTTGAGCTTGTTGTTGAAGATGTCGTTGGAGATGATGTACTGCTTGTTGTGGAGCTAGTAGTTGACGATGTAGTAGGAGAGGACGTGCTGCTAGTTGTTGAGCTTGTTGTTGAAGATGTCGTTGGAGATGATGTACTGCTTGTTGTGGAGCTAGTTGTTGACGATGTAGTAGGTGAGGACGTGCTGCTAGTTGTTGAGCTTGTTGTTGAAGATGTCGTTGAAGATGATGTACAGCTTGTTGTGGAGCTAGTTGTTGACGATGTAGAAGGTGAGGACGTGCTGCTAGTTGTTGAGCTTGTTGTTGAAGATGTCGTTGGAGATGATGTACTGCTTGTTGACGATGTAGTAGGTGACGACGTGCTGCTAGTTGTTGAGCTTGTTGTTGAAGATGTCGATGGAGATGATGTACTGCTTGTTGTGGAGCTAGTAGTTGACGATGTAGTAGGTGAGGAGGTGCTGCTAGTTGTTGAGCTTGTTGTTGAAGATGTCGTTGGAGATGATGTACTGCTTGTTGTGGAGCTAGTTGTTGACGATGTAGTAGGTGACGACGTGCTGCTAGTTGTTGAGCTTGTTGTTGAAGATGTCGTTGGAGATGATGTACTGCTTGTTGTTGACGATGTAGTAGGTGACGACGTGCTGCTAGTTGTTGAGCTTGTTGTTGAAGATGTCGTTGAAGATGATGTACTGCTTCTTGTGGAGCTAGTTGTTGACGATGTAGTAGGTGACGACGTGCTGCTAGTTGTTGAGCTTGTTGTTGAAGATGTCGTTGGAGATGATGTACTGCTTGTTGTGGAGCTAGTAGTTGACGATGTAGTAGGTGAGGACGTGCTGCTAGTTGTTGAGCTTGTTGTTGAAGATGTCGTTGGAGATGATGTACTGCTTGTTGTGGAGCTAGTTGTTGACGATGTAGTAGGTGAGGACGTGCTGCTAGTTGTTGAGCTTGTTGTTGAAGATGTCGTTGAAGATGATGTACTGCTTGTTGTGGAGCTAGTTGTTGACGATGTAGTAGGTGAGGACGTGCTGCTAGTTGTTGAGCTTGTTGTTGAAGATGTCGTTGGAGATGATGTACTGCTTGTTGTTGACGATGTAGTAGGTGACGACGTGCTGCTAGTTGTTGAGCTTGTTGTTGAAGATGTCGATGGAGATGATGTACTGCTTGTTGTGGAGCTAGTAGTTGACGATGTAGTAGGTGAGGACGTGCTGCTAGTTGTTGAGCTTGTTGTTGAAGATGTCGTTGGAGATGATGTACTGCTTGTTGTGGAGCTAGTTGTTGACGATGTAGTAGGTGAAGACGTGCTGCTAGTTGTTGAGCTTGATGTTGAAGATGTCGTTGGAGATGATGTACTGCTTGTTGTTGACGATGTAGTAGGTGAGGACGTGCTGCTAGTTGTTGAGCTTGTTGTTGAAGATGTCGTTGGAGATGATGTACTGCTTGTTGTGGAGCTAGTTGTTAACGATGTAGTAGGTGAGGAAGTGCTGCTAGTTGTTGAGCTTGTTGTTGAAGATGTCGTTGAAGATGATGTACTGCTTGTTGTGGAGCTAGTTGTTGACGATGTAGTAGGTGAGGAAGTGCTGCTAGTTGTTGAGCTTGTTGTTGAAGATGTCGTTGGAGATGATGTACTGCTTGTTGTTGACGATGTAGTAGGTGACGACGTGCTGCTAGTTGTTGAGCTTGTTGTTGAAGATGTCGATGGAGATGATGTACTGCTTGTTGTGGAGCTAGTTGTTGACGATGTAGTAGGTGAGGACGTGCTGCTAGTTGTTGAGCTTGTTGTTGAATATGTCGTTGGAGATGATGTACTGCTTGTTGTTGACGATGTAGTAGGTGATGACGTGCTGCTAGTTGTTGAGCTTGTTGTTGAAGATGTCGTTGGAGATGATGTACTGCTTGTTGTGGAGCTAGTTGTTGACGATGTAGTAGGTGAGGAAGTGCTGCTAGTTGTTGAGCTTGTTGTTGAAGATGTCGTTGGAGATGATGTACTGCTTGTTGTTGACGATGTAGTAGGTGACGACGTGCTGCTAGTTGTTGAGCTTGTTGTTGAAGATGTCGATGGAGATGATGTACTGCTTGTTGTGGAGCTAGTTGTTGACGATGTAGTAGGCGAGGACGTGCTGCTAGTTGTTGAGCTTGTTGTTGAATATGTCGTTGGAGATGATGTACTGCTTGTTGTTGACGATGTAGTAGGTGATGACGTGCTGCTAGTTGTTGAGCTTGTTGTTGAAGATGTCGTTGGAGATGATGTACTGCTTGTTGTGGAGCTAGTTGTTGACGATGTAGTAGGTGAAGACGTGCTGCTAGTTGTTGAGCTTGATGTTGAAGATGTCGTTGGAGATGATGTACTGCTTGTTGTTGACGATGTAGTAGGTGAGGACGTGCTGCTAGTTGTTGAGCTTGTTGTTGAAGATGTCGTTGGAGATGATGTACTGCTTGTTGTGGAGCTAGTTGTTAACGATGTAGTAGGTGAGGAAGTGCTGCTAGTTGTTGAGCTTGTTGTTGAAGATGTCGTTGAAGATGATGTACTGCTTGTTGTGGAGCTAGTTGTTGACGATGTAGTAGGTGAGGACGTGCTGCTAGTTGTTGAGCTTGTTGTTGAAGATGTCGTTGGAGATGATGTACTGCTTGTTGTTGACGATGTAGTAGGTGACGACGTGCTGCTAGTTGTTGAGCTTGTTGTTGAAGATGTCGATGGAGATGATGTACTGCTTGTTGTGGAGCTAGTTGTTGACGATGTAGTAGGTGAGGACGTGCTGCTAGTTGTTGAGCTTGTTGTTGAAGATGTCGTTGGAGATGATGTACTGCTTGTTGTTGACGATGTAGTAGGTGAGGACGTGCTGCTAGTTGTTGAGCTTGTTGTTGAAGATGTCGTTGGAGATGATGTACTGCTTGTTGTGGAGCTAGTTGTTAACGATGTAGTAGGTGAGGAAGTGCTGCTAGTTGTTGAGCTTGTTGTTGAAGATGTCGTTGAAGATGATGTACTGCTTGTTGTGGAGCTAGTTGTTGACGATGTAGTAGGTGAGGACGTGCTGCTAGTTGTTGAGCTTGTTGTTGAAGATGTCGTTGGAGATGATGTACTGCTTGTTGTTGACGATGTAGTAGGTGAGGGCGTGCTGCTAGTTGTTGAGCTTGTTGTTGAAGATGTCGTTGAAGATGATGTACTGCTTGTTGTGGAGCTAGTTGTTGACGATGTAGTAGGTGAGGACGTGCTGCTAGTTGTTGAGCTTGTTGTTGAATATGTCGTTGGAGATGATGTACTGCTTGTTGTTGACGATGTAGTAGGTGATGACGTGCTGCTAGTTGTTGAGCTTGTTGTTGAAGATGTCGTTGGAGATGATGTACTGCTTGTTGTGGAGCTAGTTGTTGACGATGTAGTAGGTGACGACGTGCTGCTAGTTGTTGAGCTTGTTGTTGAAGATGTCGTTGGAGATGATGTACTGCTTGTTGTTGACGATGTAGTAGGTGACGACGTGCTGCTAGTTGTTGAGCTTGTTGTTGAAGATGTCGTTGGAGATGATGTACTGCTTGTTGTGGAGCTAGTAGTTGACGATGTAGATGGTGAGGACGTGCTGCTAGTTGTTGAGCCTGTTGTTGAAGATGTCGTTGGAGATGATGTACTGCTTGTTGTTGACGATGTAGTAGGTGAGGACGTGCTGCTAGTTGTTGAGCTTGTTGTTGAAGATGTCGTTGGAGATGATGTACTGCTTGCTGTCGAGCTAGTTGTTGACGATGTAGTAGGTGAGGACGTGCTGCTAGTTGTTGAGATTGTTGTTGAAGATGTCGTTGAAGATGATGTACTGCTTTTTTTGGAGCTAGTTGTTGACGATGTAGTAGGTGACGACGTGCTGCTAGTTGTTGAGCTTGTTGTTGAAGATGTCGTTGGAGATGATGTACTGCTTGTTGTGGAGCTAGTAGTTGACGATGTAGTAGGTGAGGACGTGCTGCTAGTTGTTGAGCTTGTTGTTGAAGATGTCGTTGGAGATGATGTACTGCTTGTTGTTGACGATGTAGTAGGTGAGGACGTGCTGCTAGTTGTTGAGCTTGTTGTTGAAGATGTCGTTGGAGATGATGTACTGCTTGTTGTGGAGCTAGTTGTTGACGATGTAGTAGGTGAGGACGTGCTGCTAGTTGTTGAGCTTGTTGTTGAAGATGTCGTTGGAGATGATGTACTGCTTGTTGTGGAGCTAGTTGATGACGATGTAGTAGGTGACGACGTGCTGCTAGTTGTTGAGCTTGTTGTTGAAGATGTCGTTGGAGATGATGTACTGCTTGTTGTGGAGCTAGTTGTTGACGATGTAGTAGGTGAAGACGTGCTGCTAGTAGTTGAGCTTGTTGTTGAAGATGTCGTTGGAGATGATGTACTGCTTGTTGTGGAGCTAGTTGTTGATGATGTAGTAGGTGACGACGTGCTGCTAGTTGTTGAGCTTGTTGTTGAAGATGTCGTTGAAGATGATGCACTGCTTGTTGTGGAGCTAGTTATTGACGATGTTGTAGGTGAGGACGTGCTGCTAGTTGTTGAGCTTGTTGTTGAAGATGTCGTTGGAGATGATGTACTGCTTGTTGTTGACGATGTAGTAGGTGACGACGTGCTGCTAGTTGTTGAGCTTGTTGTTGAAGATGTCGATGGAGATGATGTACTGCTTGTTGTGGAGCTAGTAGTTGACGATGTAGTAGGTGAGGACGTGCTGCTAGTTTTTGAGCTTGTTGTTGAAGATGTCGTTGGAGATGATGTACTGCTTGTTGTGGAGCTAGTTGTTGATGATGTAGTAGGTGAAGACGTGCTGCTAGTTGTTGAGCTTGATGTTGAAGATGTCGTTGGAGATGATGTACTGCTTGTTGTTGACGATGTAGTAGGTGACAACGTGCTGCTAGTTGTTGAGCTTGTTGTTGAAGTTGTCGATGGAGATGATGTACTGCTTGTTGTGGAGCTAGTAGTTGACGATGTAGTAGGTGAGGACGTGCTGCTAGTTGTTGAGCTTGTTGTTGAAGATGTCGTTGAAGATGAAGTACTGCTTGTTGTGGAGCTAGTTGTTGACGATGTAGTAGGTGAGGACGTGCTGCTAGTTGTTGAGCTTGTTGTTGAAGATGTCGTTGGAGATGATGTACTGCTTGTTGTAGAGCTAGTAGTTGACGATGTAGTAGGTGAGGACGTGCTGCTAGTTGTTGAGCTTGTTGTTGAAGATGTCGTTGGAGATGATGTACTGCTTGTTGTTGACGATGTAGTAGGTGAGGACGTGCTGCTAGTTGTTGAGCTTGTTGTTGAAGATGTCGATGGAGATGATGTACTGCTTGTTGTGGAGCTAGTTGTTGACGATGTAGTAGGTGACGACGTGCTGCTAGTTGTTGAGCTTGTTGTTGAAGATGTCGTTGGAGATGATGTACTGCTTGTTGTGGAGCTAGTTGTTGACGATGTAGTAGGTGACGACGTGCTGCTAGTTGTTGAGCTTGTTGTTGAAGATGTCGTTGGAGATGATGTACTGCTTGTTGTGGAGCTAGTTGTTGACGATGTAGTAGGTGACGACGTGCTGCTAGTTGTTGAGCTTGTTGTTGAAGATGTCGTTGGAGATGATGTACTGCTTGTTGTGGAGCTAGTTGTTGACGATGTAATAGGTGACGACGTGCTGCTAGTTGTTGAGCTTGTCGTTGAAGATGTCGTTGGAGATGATGTACTGCTTGTTGTGGAGCTAGTTGTTGACGATGTAGTAGGTGACGACGTGCTGCTAGTTGTTGAGCTTGTTGTTGAAGATGTCGTTTGAGATGATGTACTGCTTGTTGTGGAGCTAGTTGTTGGCGAATTTGGAAGGGATGACCTTATAAACAAAAGTTTTCATTTTTTTTCCCTGAAAGGGTTCTTTTTTGAGTTTTATGAAAGACAAAAACTAACGACTCTGATGATGTCATTGTTTTTGTAGCAGTGGAATGTATTCGAATATTTGGCGAGTTTGTGGAGCTAGTTGTTGACGATGTAGTAGGTGACGACGTGCTGCTAGTTGTTGAGCTTGTTGGTGAAGAAGTCGTTGGAGATGATGTACTGCTTGTTGTGGAGCTAGTTGTTGACGATGTAGTAGGTGAGGACGTGCTGCTAGTTGTGGAGCTTGTTGTTGAAGATGTCGTTGAAGATGATGTACTGCTTGTTGTGGAGCTAGTTGTTGACGATGTAGTAGGTGACGACGTGCTGCTAGTTGTTGAGCTTGTTGTTGAAGATGTCGTTGGAGATGATGTACTGCTTGTTGTGGAGCTAGTAGTTGACGATGTAGTAGGTGAGGACGTGCTGCTAGTTCTTGAGCTTGTTGTTGAAGATGTCGTTGAAGATGAAGTACTGCTTGTTGTGGAGCTAGTTGTTGACGATGTAGTAGATGAGGACGTGCTGCTAGTTGTTGAGCTTGTTGTTGAAGATGTCTTTGGAGATGATGTACTGCTTGTTGTAGAGCTAGTAGTTGACGATGTAGTAGGTGAGGACGTGCTGCTAGTTGTTGAGCTTGTTGTTGAAGATGTCGTTGAAGATGATGTACTGCTTGTTGTTGACGATGTAGTAGGTGAGGACGTGCTGCTAGTTGTTGAGCTTGTTGTTGAAGATGTCGATGGAGATGATGTACTGCTTGTTGTGGAGCTAGTTGTTGACGATGTAGTAGGTGACGACGTGCTGCTAGTTGTTGAGCTTGTTGTTGAAGATGTCGTTGGAGATGATGTACTGCTTGTTGTGGAGCTAGTTGTTGACGATGTAGTAGGTGACGACGTGCTGCTAGTTGTTGAGCTTGTTGTTGAAGATGTCGTTGGAGATGATGTACTGCTTGTTGTGGAGCTAGTTGTTGACGATGTAGTAGGTGACGACGTGCTGCTAGTTGTTGAGCTTGTTGTTGAAGATGTCGTTGGAGATGATGTACTGCTTGTTGTGGAGCTAGTTGTTGACGATGTAGTAGGTGACGACGTGCTGCTAGTTGTTGAGCTTGTCGTTGAAGATGTCGTTGGAGATGATGTACTGCTTGTCGTGGAGCTAGTTGTTGACGATGTAGTAGGTGACGACGTGCTGCTAGTTGTTGAGCTTGTTGTTGAAGATGTCGTTTGAGATGATGTACTGCTTGTTGTGGAGCTAGTTGTTGGCGAATTTGGAAGGGATGACCTTATAAACAAAAATTTTCATTTTTTTTCCCTGAAAGGGTTCTTTTTTGAGTTTTATGAAAGACAAAAACTAACGACTCTGATGATGTCATTGTTTTTGTAGCAGTGGAATGTATTCGAATATTTGGCGAGTTTGTGGAGCTAGTTGTTGACGATGTAGTAGGTGACGACGTGCTGCTAGTTGTTGAGCTTGTTGGTGAAGAAGTCGTTGGAGATGATGTACTGCTTGTTGTGGAGCTAGTTGTTGACGATGTAGTAGGTGAGGACGTGCTGCTAGTTGTGGAGCTTGTTGTTGAAGATGTCGTTGGAGATGATGTACTGCTTGTTGTGGAGCTAGTAGTTGACGATGTAGTAGGTGAGGACGTGCTGCTAGTTGTTGAGCTTGTTGTTGAAGATGTCGTTGGAGATGATGTACTGCTTGTTGTTGACGATGTAGTAGGTGACGACGTGCTGCTGATTGTTGAGCTTGTTGTTGAAGATGTCGATGGAGATGATGTACTGCTTGTTGTGGAGCTAGTAGTTGACGATGTAGTAGGTGAGGACGTGCTGCTAGTTGTTGAGCTTGTTGTTGAAGATGTCGTTGAAGATGAAGTACTGCTTGTTGTGGAGCTAGTTGTTGACGATGTAGTAGGTGAGGACGTGCTGCTAGTTGTTGAGCTTGTTGTTGAAGATGTCGTTGGAGATGATGTACTGCTTGTTGTAGAGCTAGTAGTTGACGATGTAGTAGGTGAGGACGTGCTGCTAGTTGTTGAGCTTGTTGTTGAAGATGTCGTTGGAGATGATGTACTGCTTGTTGTTGACGATGTAGTAGGTGAGGACGTGCTGCTAGTTGTTGAGCTTGTTGTTGAAGATGTCGATGGAGATGATGTACTGCTTGTTGTGGAGCTAGTTGTTGACGATGTAGTAGGTGACGACGTGCTGCTAGTTGTTGAGCTTGTTGTTGAAGATGTCGTTGGAGATGATGTACTGCTTGTTGTGGAGCTAGTTGTTGACGATGTAGTAGGTGACGACGTGCTGCTAGTTGTTGAGCTTGTTGTTGAAGATGTCGTTGGAGATGATGTACTGCTTGTTGTGGAGCTAGTTGTTGACGATGTAGTAGGTGACGACGTGCTGCTAGTTGTTGAGCTTGTTGTTGAAGATGTCGTTGGAGATGATGTACTGCTTGTTGTGGAGCTAGTTGTTGACGATGTAGTAGGTGACGACGTGCTGCTAGTTGTTGAGCTTGTCGTTGAAGATGTCGTTGGAGATGATGTACTGCTTGTTGTGGAGCTAGTTGTTGACGATGTAGTAGGTGACGACGTGCTGCTAGTTGTTGAGCTTGTTGTTGAAGATGTCGTTTGAGATGATGTACTGCTTGTTGTGGAGCTAGTTGTTGGCGAATTTGGAAGGGATGACCTTATAAACAAAAATTTTCATTTTTTTTCCCTGAAAGGGTTCTTTTTTGAGTTTTATGAAAGACAAAAACTAACGACTCTGATGATGTCATTGTTTTTGTAGCAGTGGAATGTATTCGAATATTTGGCGAGTTTGTGGAGCTAGTTGTTGACGATGTATAAGGTGACGACGTGCTGCTAGTTGTTGAGCTTGTTGGTGAAGATGTCGTTGGAGATGATGTACTGCTTGTTGTGGAGCTAGTTGTTGACGATGTAGTAGGTGAGGACGTGCTGCTAGTTGTGGAGCTTGTTGTGGAAGATGTCGTTGGAGATGATGTACTGCTTGTTGTGGAGCTAGTAGTTGACGATGTAGTAGGTGAGGACGTGCTGCTTGTTGTTGAGCTTGTTGTTGAAGATGTCGTTGGCGATGATGTACTGCTTGTTGTTGACGATGTAGTAGGTGACGACGTGCTGCTAGTTGTTGAGCGTGTTGTTGAAGATGTCGTTGGAGATGATGTACTGCTTGTTGTGGAGCTAGTTGTTGACGATGTAGTAGGTGACGACGTGCTGCTAGTTGTTGAGCTTGTTGTTGAAGATGTCGTTGGAGATGATGTACTGCTTGTTGTGGAGCTAGTAGTTGACGATGTAGTAGGTGAGGACGTGCTGCTAGTTGTTGAGCTTGTTGTTGAAGATGTCGTTGGAGATGATGTACTGCTTGTTGTTGACGATGTAGTAGGTGAGGACGTGCTGCTAGTTGTTGAGCTTGTTGTTGAAGATGTCGTTGGAGATGATGTAATGCTTGTTGTGGAGCTAGTTGTTGACGATGTAGTAGGTGAGGACGTGCTGCTAGTTGTTGAGCTTGTTGTTGAAGATGTCGTTGGAGATGATGTACTGCTTCTTGTGGAGCTAGTTGTTGGCGATGTAGTAGGTGAAGACGTGCTGCTAGTTGTTGAGCTTGTTGTTGAAGATGTCGTTGGAGATGATGTACTGCTTGTTGTTGACGATGTAGTAGGTGACGACGTGCTGCTAGTTGTTGAGCTTGTTGTTGAAGATGTCGTTGGAGATGATGTACTGCTTGTTGTGGAGCTAGTTGTTGACGATGTAGTAGGTGACGACGTGCTGCTAGTTGTTGAGCTTGTTGTTGAAGATGTCGTTGGAGATGATGTACTGCTTGTTGTGGAGCTAGTTGTTGACGATGTAGTAGGTGACGACGTGCTGCTAGTTGTTGAGCTTGTTGTTGAAGATGTCGTTGGAGATGATGTACTGCTTGTTGTGGAGCTAGTTGTTGGCGATTTTAAAAGGGATGACCTTATAAACAAAATTTTTCATTTTTCTTCCCTGAAAGGGTTTTTTTTGAATTTTATGGAAGACAAATACTAACGACTCTGATGATGTCATTGTTTTTGTAGCAGTGGAATGTATTCGAATATTTGGCGAGTTTGTGGAGCTAGTTGTTGACGATGTAGTAGGTGACGACGTGCTGCTAGTTGTTGAGCTTGTTGTTGAAGATGTCGTTGGAGATGATGTACTGCTTGTTGTGGAGCTAGTTGTTGACGATGTAGTAGGTGACGACGTGCTGCTAGTTGTTGAGCTTGTCGTTGAAGATGTCGTTGGAGATGATGTACTGCTTGTTGTGGAGCTAGTTGTTGACGATGTAGTAGGTGACGACGTGCTGCTAGTTGTTGAGCTTGTTGTTGAAGATGTCGTTTGAGATGATGTACTGCTTGTTGTGGAGCTAGTTGTTGGCGAATTTGGAAGGGATGACCTTATAAACAAAAATTTTCATTTTTTTTCCCTGAAAGGGTTCTTTTTTGAGTTTTATGAAAGACAAAAACTAACGACTCTGATGATGTCATTGTTTTTGTAGCAGTGGAATGTATTCGAATATTTGGCGAGTTTGTGGAGCTAGTTGTTGACGATGTAGTAGGTGACGACGTGCTGCTAGTTGTTGAGCTTGTTGGTGAAGATGTCGTTGGAGATGATGTACTGCTTGTTGTGGAGCTAGTTGTTGACGATGTAGTAGGTGAGGACGTGCTGCTAGTTGTGGAGCTTGTTGTGGAAGATGTCGTTGGAGATGATGTACTGCTTGTTGTGGAGCTAGTAGTTGACGATGTAGTAGGTGAGGACGTGCTGCTTGTTGTTGAGCTTGTTGTTGAAGATGTCGTTGGAGATGATGTACTGCTTGTTGTTGACGATGTAGTAGGTGACGACGTGCTGCTAGTTGTTGAGCGTGTTGTTGAAGATGTCGTTGGAGATGATGTACTGCTTGTTGTGGAGCTAGTTGTTGACGATGTAGTAGGTGACGACGTGCTGCTAGTTGTTGAGCTTGTTGTTGAAGATGTCGTTGGAGATGATGTACTGCTTGTTGTCGAGCTAGTAGTTGACGATGTAGTAGGTGAGGACGTGCTGCTAGTTGTTGAGCTTGTTGTTGAAGATGTCGTTGGAGATGATGTACTGCTTGTTGTTGACGATGTAGTAGGTGAGGACGTGCTGCTAGTTGTTGAGCTTGTTGTTGAAGATGTCGTTGGAGATGATGTAATGCTTGTTGTGGAGCTAGTTGTTGACGATGTAGTAGGTGACGACGTGCTGCTAGTTGTTGAGCTTGTTGTTGAAGATGTCGTTTGAGATGATGTACTGCTTGTTGTGGAGCTAGTTGTTGGCGAATTTGGAAGGGATGACCTTATAAACAAAAATTTTCATTTTTTTTCCCTGAAAGGGTTCTTTTTTGAGTTTTATGAAAGACAAAAACTAACGACTCTGATGATGTCATTGTTTTTGTAGCAGTGGAATGTATTCGAATATTTGGCGAGTTTGTGGAGCTAGTTGTTGACGATGTAGTAGGTGACGACGTGCTGCTAGTTGTTGAGCTTGTTGGTGAAGATGTCGTTGGAGATGATGTACTGCTTGTTGTGGAGCTAGTTGTTGACGATGTAGTAGGTGAGGACGTGCTGCTAGTTGTGGAGCTTGTTGTGGAAGATGTCGTTGGAGATGATGTACTGCTTGTTGTGGAGCTAGTAGTTGACGATGTAGTAGGTGAGGACGTGCTGCTTGTTGTTGAGCTTGTTGTTGAAGATGTCGTTGGAGATGATGTACTGCTTGTTGTTGACGATGTAGTAGGTGACGACGTGCTGCTAGTTGTTGAGCGTGTTGTTGAAGATGTCGTTGGAGATGATGTACTGCTTGTTGTGGAGCTAGTTGTTGACGATGTAGTAGGTGACGACGTGCTGCTAGTTGTTGAGCTTGTTGTTGAAGATGTCGTTGGAGATGATGTACTGCTTGTTGTCGAGCTAGTAGTTGACGATGTAGTAGGTGAGGACGTGCTGCTAGTTGTTGAGCTTGTTGTTGAAGATGTCGTTGGAGATGATGTACTGCTTGTTGTTGACGATGTAGTAGGTGAGGACGTGCTGCTAGTTGTTGAGCTTGTTGTTGAAGATGTCGTTGGAGATGATGTAATGCTTGTTGTGGAGCTAGTTGTTGACGATGTAGTAGGTGAGGACGTGCTGCTAGTTGTTGAGCTTGTTGTTGAAGATGTCGTTGGAGATGATGTACTGCTTCTTGTGGAGCTAGTTGTTGGCGATGTAGTAGGTGAAGACGTGCTGCTAGTTGTTGAGCTTGTTGTTGAAGATGTCGTTGGAGATGATGTACTGCTTGTTGTTGACGATGTAGTAGGTGACGACGTGCTGCTAGTTGTTGAGCTTGTTGTTGAAGATGTCGTTGGAGATGATGTACTGCTTGTTGTGGAGCTAGTTGTTGACGATGTAGTAGGTGACGACGTGCTGCTAGTTGTTGAGCTTGTTGTTGAAGATGTCGTTGGAGATGATGTACTGCTTGTTGTGGAGCTAGTTGTTGACGATGTAGTAGGTGACGACGTGCTGCTAGTTGTTGAGCTTGTTGTTGAAGATGTCGTTGGAGATGATGTACTGCTTGTTGTGGAGCTAGTTGTTGGCGATTTTAAAAGGGATGACCTTATAAACAAAATTTTTCATTTTTCTTCCCTGAAAGGTTTTTTTTTTGAATTTTATGGAAGACAAATACTAACGACTCTGATGATGTCATTGTTTTTGTAGCAGTGGAATGTATTCGAATATTTGGCGAGTTTGTGGAGCTAGTTGTTGACGATGTAGTAGGTGACGACGTGCTGCTAGTTGTTGAGCTTGTTGTTGGAGATGTCGTTGGAGATGATGTACTGCTTGTTGTGGAGCTAGTTGTTGACGATGTAGTAGGTGACGACATGCTGCTAGTTGTTGAGCTTGTTGTTGAAGATGTCGTTGGAGATGATTTACTGCTTGTTGTGGAGCTAGTTGTTGACGATGTAGTAGGTGAAGACGTGCTGTTAGTTGTTGAGCTTGTTGTTGAAGATGTCGTTGGAGATGATGTACTGCTTGCTGTGGAGCTAGTTGTTAATGATGTAGTAGGTGACGACGTGCTGCTAGTTGTTGAGCTTTTTGTTGAAGATGTCGTTGGAGATGATGTACTGCTTGTTGTGGAGGCAGTAATTGACGATGTAGTAGGTGAGGACGTGCTGCTAGATGTTGAGCTTGTTGTTGAAGATGTCGTTGGAGATGATGTGCTGCTTGTTGTTGACGATGTAATAGGTGACGACGTGCTGCTAGTTGTTGAGCTTGTTGTTGAAGATGTCGATGGAGATGATGTACTGCTTGTTGTGGAGCTAGTAGTTGACGATGTAGTAGGTGAGGACGTGCTGCTAGTTGTTGAGCTTGTTGTTGAAGATATCGTTGAAGATGATGTACTGCTTGTTGTGGAGCTAATTGTTGACGATGTAGTAGGTGAGGACGTGCTGCTAGTTGTTGAGCTTGTTGTTGAAGATGTCGTTGGAGATGATGTACTGCTTGTTGTGGAGCTAGTTGTTGACGATGTAGTAGGTGACGACGTGCTGCTAGTTGTTGAGCTTGTTGTTGAAGATGTCGTTGGAGATGATGTACTGCTTGTTTTGGAGCTAGTTGTAGGCGATTTGGGAAGGGATGACCTTATAAAAAAATTTCATTTTTCCCTGAAAGGGTTGTTTTTTGAATTTTATGGAAGACAAAAACTAACGACTCTGATGATGTCATTGTTTTTGTAGCAGTGGAATGTATTCGAATATTTGGCGAGTTTGTGGAGCTAGATGTTGACGATGTAGTAGGTGGCGACGTGCTGCTAGTTGTTGAGCTTGTTGTTGAAGATGTCGTTGGAGATGATGTACTGCTTGTTGTGGAGCTAGTTGTTGACGATGTAGTAGGTGAGGACGTGCTGCTAGTTGTTGAGCTTGTTGTTGAAGATTTCGTTGGAGATGATGTACTGCTTGTTGTGGAGCTAGTTGTTGACGATGTAGTAGGTGACGACGTGCTGCTAGTTGTTGAGCTTGTTGTTGAAGATGTCGTTGGAGATGATGTACTGCTTGTTGTGGAGCTAGTTGTTGACGATGTAGTAGGTGACGACGTGCTGCTAGTTGTTGAGCTTGTTGTTGAAGATTTCGTTGGAGATGATGTACTGCTTGTTGTGGAGCTAGTAGTTGACGATGTAGTAGGTGAGGACGTGCTGCTAGTTGTTGAGCTTGTTGTTGAAGATGTCGTTGAAGATGATGTACTGCTTGTTGTTGACGATGTAGTAGGTGACGACGTGCTGCTAGTTGTTGAGCTTGTTGTTGAAGATGTCGATGGAGATGATGTACTGCTTGTTGTGGAGCTAGTAGTTGACGATGTAGTAGGTGAGGACGTGCTGCTAGTTGTTGAGCTTGTTGTTGAAGATATCGTTGAAGATGATGTACTGCTTGTTGTGGAGCTAATTGTTGACGATGTAGTAGGCGAGGACGTGCTGCTAGTTGTTGAGCTTGTTGTTGAAGATGTCGTTGGAGATGATGTACTGCTTGTTGTGGAGCTAGTTGTTGACGATGTAGTAGGTGACGACGTGCTGCTAGTTGTTGAGCTTGTTGTTGAAGATGTCGTTGGAGATGATGTACTGCTTGTTGTGGAGCTAGTTGTTGACGATGTAGTAGGTGACGACGTGCTGCTAATTGTTGAGCTTGTTGTTGAAGATTTCGTTGGAGATGATGTACTGCTTGTTGTGGAGCTAGTAGTTGACGATGTAGTAGGTGAGGACGTGCTGCTAGTTGTTGAGCTTGTTGTTGAAGATGTCGTTGAAGATGATGTACTGCTTGTTGTTGACGATGTAGTAGGTGACGACGTGCTGCTAGTTGTTGAGCTTGTTGTTGAAGATGTCGATGGAGATGATGTACTGCTTGTTGTGGAGCTAGTAGTTGACGATGTAGTAGGTGACGACGTGCTGCTAGTTGTTGAGCTTGTTGTTGAAGATGTCGTTGGAGATGATGTACTGCTTGTTGTGGAGTTAGTTGTTGATGATGTAGTAGGTGACGACGTGCTGCTAGTTGTTGAGCTTGTTGTTGAAGATGTCGTTGGAGATGATGTACTGCTTGACAACATCACCATGATTAGAATGTAATTATGCAGTAAAAACTGACCTTGATAATGCACAATTAAAAAATTTACATTATTTTGCACTATGTCTAGATTGCCAAAATGATCATTACGAAGAAGACTTGTTAGGAAACTCTACATTCAAACCGATACCATATCCATCTTGGATCAAGAACAATACACAAGAAAAACCACTTAAACAAAAAGTGTACAGCACAGACCTATTTCCATTAGAAGAAAAGAAAACATAACTGATAAAATAAATTTATCAGGACCTCCAGATTTACACTCAATATACACAATAAATCAAGTTTTTAATCTACGTGACCCTCTAGATAATACACCTCTTTCAAAAAAAGAAATTGAAAATATTTTTCTACCAGCCACAGAAAAAATGACACTGGAACTACTACAGAAATATCAAAACTTTGACTCAGTCATCAGACAACTTAAGTACTGGCTTAAATTCAAAACAAAACCCGTAAATGCAGATATCTTAGATACTTCAGAAAATTTGATAACACATCCATAAATGAGAACACCCATATTAGAACACCAAAGATCTGAATCAAAAGTATCCTAAATTTTATCCAAATTTTTCAATTTCCAATTGCACCAATTTGGATTAAAGTATTATCTAACGATTCCATAACATGTCAATTAAATAAACCGTATCCACATCATAAACAAATAGCACAAAAACAAGACTTTAGAGGACAAAACTTATTTTTCAACCACAGAATTTCCTTTGATACAAAAGGACCGATATAACCCTCCTCAGAAGGAAACTCATATATAATGGCTATTGTTGATGCATTTACACACTATGTAGCACTCAACGCTGTACCTCCTTGTAATGCCCATTATGCATATAGAACACTCTGCAAACACTGGATAGCAAAATTTTGTTTAACCAGAAAGCCTTGTCACAGATAATGGCACTGAATTCATAAACAATGAAATCATCACATTATGCCATCTTTATAACATTAAACATAAAGCCCGAGCGTCTCACGCGCCCCGAACGTCTTACCCCTTGGACTAATGACTAGGTCAAAAGGTATGAACCGTTCACTTCAAGATTACATCAGATGTATCATAAATGGAAACGATACAAAATATACCAAATGGTCAACAGACGTGAAATTATTCCCCTTAGCTTATAACTCCCAGATAACAACAACTCTAGGATTATCTCCTTAATAAATGTTATTCAAACAAAACCACGGAAACCAATAATGTTCACAGCAAATTGCTCAAAAAACGCACAAGGTCATTGCCAACCTACTAAAAAATCATCTTGTTAAAACTTACCGTGACACACGCACGATGAAGATCATTTTCATCACACGCAAACCTTAATTTTAGCATTCGGCACACATACGGAACGTATTCTAAATAAAGATAAAAAACACCATGAAATAAAGATAAAAAACTATTACAAAGACAAAATTTTCAATCCCAATTTAATTCACGATTCTCAACATTTACAAACTTAAAACTCAAAACATATGTCTTAATGCAGAGTTGTGTAACATAAAAAAGAATATCTAAAAAATTGCAACAAATCCGAAAAGGACCATCTTAGATTTTTGACAAACCCACTGATATAACATACAATCTTTTTGATTCAAATAAAAAACAGTAGTTCAACACCGAAACATTCTTTTACCTTATTCCCCAGAAGTACACGCTCTTCGCGAACTAACACAGTTTTACTCCTTTACTGGACTAAAGGGTGTCCGCGACAACTCAGATGATAATCATCAACAAAATCAAGATAGAAATTGTTCAACTCAATTAATAGAATCAAAAAAATAAAGAAACTAAAAATACCCAACCAAAATCTCAAGAAATCAGAAATAAACAAATACCTCAAAAACTAAGTAAAAATCAAAAATTAAGAAGAAAAATTTTACAACAAGAAACAAACGAAAAATCTCAACAACAACAAACATCACGACTCCAAATTCAACCACGGCATAATTACAAATTTTTCGTCCCACAATCTAAAATATAAAAGAAAGTTGAACTTCAGAAACACCTTTCCAATTATTTAATCATTTTAAACGTTTTACATATAGCAAAGTTTTCTTCTTTTTTTCATCTTTCATGCTAACACTCTAAAATAACTAGTTCAATTTCAGCCAATCAGAATCTATTTATACCTCAAGCCATTCTGACAAAAGTTCATTAGCCGACACATAGCTCACTTCAAACGCATATGAAACTATAACTTACAGACCTCCAGGTCAAAATTAAGCAAAACGCTTATATATGACAAGTGTAAAAAATCTAAATGTAACAACCCTCTTCTATCAACCAGTAAAAAAATTAAAAATATTGTCTCAACTTACACTCCACATTTCCCCCAAGGAAAAGTTTTTAAAAAGACTAATGAAAAATTACCACATGATCCTTTAGCCTAAAGAAGATATAACTCCTGAATACCTCCCTAGATTTCGGACCTAGTAACACAGCAATTATGGCAAATAAGCTTCCTTCAAACAATTTGAAACGATTTCTAAGACGGACTAAATCTACGTTTAATATATCGCGCGTTAATTGTCCAAAATGGCAATCTTTAAACCTCCATAACTTTCCGAAAAATGATCACAGGCAAAATTTTGTTTCAAATACTATTTGAATCATGAAAAAAAAAAATCCGTCAAAAAAGGCTAGGTAAAAAGTCGAAATTTGTCTGAAGAAAAAACCCACCCCGAGCACAAATACCCTGTTATTTTCGTTACGAAAGTCGCAACAAAAACTCAATTCATAAAAACGAAATATTTTGGTGATAGCGGTCAGCTGCTAAAAACAAGTCTCCTTAACAGTTACCCCCTTTCAAGAAAGTAGAATAAGTTAGTTGAATTATCCAGCAAAACTCGAAATATAAATAACGGGTGGCAATTATTTAAGCAGATACCAGAGGGTTTAGTAGATTTAAAAATAACCATTCCAACGATAACGAGTTTCATCCATTTAATCTCATTATTTGTTCGTTTGCGCAAACTATACTACGAAATAAATGATTAGGGACTGCGGATCAAGTTAACATACCCCCCCTACCCCCCCCCCCCCCCCCCCCCCCCCCCCCCCCCCCCCCCCCCAGATAGACCAAGTTAAGATCTTCGACTTCATCATTTAATTCACATTAAATTTGCTAAGCGCTGCTTGTAAAATGCTTGATTCTGATTGGCTGAAAAATCCTAATTTAGAACCAAATTAACATCCTCCCCCAGTCTTCCACCTTTGCTTCCAATGCGTGAGAAAAATAAAATCGTGCGCGAAATTTTTATGGCTCGAAGTAATTAGTAATGTACTGTAATTAGCTAGATCTTTTGAGCAAGAAAAGCTTAACAATAACTAAAAACAAAGTAATTTTGAGAAAACTATATGGTCCAAAAAATAAATTTGTTACCGGATGGCCGAAAAAAGAATTCGTTCCCGGATAGCCGAAAAATAAATTCGTTCCAGGATAGCCGAAAGTTTGGATCTATCTAACAATGGTGGCGTGTCACCAAGCCGAATACCCGGATAGCCGAAAAATAAATTCGTTCCCAGATAGCCGAAAAATAAATTCGTTCCCGCATAGCCGAATTTTTTATCCCCCGGATGGCCGTTGAGGATCAACCGTACAATTCTCCCCCAAAATCGATTCCCCCTACTTACGCCGCAATGAGTCCCATTCTTCTTCTGGATCTCTTTAACTATATCCCCCCTTTTGAAAAAAGAGGGGAGATTTGTTACTAGGTATAAAATTATCATATGCTTAACCGTCGATTTATTTCTTTTTAGGGGGATATTTGCTGCTAGGTACCCGAGGGAGGACACACTACCTCACTCCCCTCCTCCACCTCCTCACATACCTACAAGAGGTAATTTTGGAGGGGGTGGGGGATTGGGGGAGACTAAATGAAGGTGAGGCGGGGTAGTATGAGATCAGTTGCCTATGTAAAAAATTTGTTAAAAACAGCATTTCACTTTTTCATTACTGTAACCATTCGCTTTTTCTGCCGTTTGCTTTCACTATGAGGCGAAAGATTGGTATTCTTAATTGAATCATACCCCACATAGTAAAACATTCTGACCAAAAAGAAAAAACATTCCAAAACTCAACAAAACTCGTAAACAATTTTAGGATATCTTTAACAATACCCATATTAGAGAACCCCTACTCCTACAAAGAACACAAAAAACTAATTCTAGTAAAATTATTGTTCCGACTTCCGATACGATAGTAACGGAATATTTGTGCTCGGGTGGGTTTTTTTTCTTCAGACAAATTTCGACTTTTTAACTAGCCAATTTTGACGAATTTCTCTTAGATCATTCGAAAAGGTATTGTTGCCCTGAGTTTAAATTTGAAAAGATATTTCACCTGTGACTATTTTTGGTAAAGTTATGGGGGTTTAAAGATTGCCATTTTGGCCAATTTGGCCAAAAGTCATACGCGCGATATATTAGAAAGAAATCGTTTCAAATTGGTTGAAAGAAGCTTATTTGTCATAATTGATTTGTTACAAGGAGCGAAATATATCTTTTTGTACTTTATATGGCGTGTGGGGGGATGTTTTTTGTAAAAAAAAAGTTCAAATTTTAGAAGAAAAAAAATTTCATTTTAATTTATTACTTTAATTTTTTTGTTAATACTGCTCCATAAACCTCAAAAGGCAGTCGGAACATTAAGGGCTTCGCCCTGATACGAGCAGTCTTGTTCGAATTGTGCTCTTTTTAACGAAGTTGCCCCTCCCTTTTGCATCTTGATAAAAGTTAACAAGATCTAAAGTTCCTTGGAAAAATTTGACTCTTGAATGTAAAATATTTTCAGAATCCGAAGCCTAGTACTTTTGAATATTTAGATATACTGAGGCTAGAAAAAAAACTATTAGGACTTACATTCAACATTGAGCTAACAAAATTGTATGAACCTATTCCACAACGATAAAATGTTTGACTGTATAGAATTTAAAAAATACTCTAAGAGCGGCAAAACTGAGCGCGACGCATCTGATGCAGTCAAACTAAGCTCAGCTTAAGACTATAATTGAAACACAAGCTAATCAGCGCTTCTCAAACATCAGCGAGAAAACGGCAAAAATGCAGCTCTATGAAGTGAGATAAGAAAAAAAGAGGCGAAACTAAGCTTTAAGAATTGAAACATTTGCTACAACCAAAAAAACTCAGAAACCCATGTCCTCGCATCTGCAAGACAGGCCCTTGACAATATACTAGCATATGCTAACAAATCCTAAACTCGATTCAACAAAAGTGACACCAAATACAAACAGACACAAATTTGAATGTATTAATTTGGAATGTAAAAACTAAAGGCATCAACAAAAATTTTGAACGGAATGAAATGGAAAGCATAAATCTAATTTATGTCTGAACTTTGCATGCTTAAATTGAGTTTTAGAAATTGAGTTTTTTTATTGCACTGTTGTTTGAAACAAACAGCTTTTTTACATTCGTTTGATGAGTTAAATTTGCATCAACTTAATATTAACCTAGTTTCAAAGCACATGTTATCAAAAAGCGGTGAGCTTGTCACAGAAAATGGTACCAATATTTGCGTCTTAAATTGGAGGAAACAACAATCGTACTATTTTGCTCACAAACGAAATCAGGGGTATTTTTCTATATATCAAAACAAATGACCCATATCAAACAAAAACTGTTAAAACGTACTCAAACTTTGTAGGCATGGGTGTTAAATTGCGACTACAGCCCTTGTCAACTTGAAGTGATTTGCACGAAAGCAAAACGAAAACAAACTGATCACTATGTTTTTAAACAAAATCTGAAAACAACTATTTTGTAAAAGCTTTATGTTCATTCCATATTACAGCAGCAGATAGATAAGCTTTTAGCCGCAAAACTAGAAACTCTCGCAATTTGATGACCAAACTACTCAATACATTTTTTTAGCTGTGGACAGTTCTAACGAAAACGTTTGTGTATAACTCAAAGAATTACTAACGATTCAGTAGGGCTTCCAGTCTTTGATATGGTCTTACATCGTTTTTCAGGAGTGGTCATGCTAGTTGTTGAGCTTGTTGTTGAAGATGTCGTTGGATATGATGTACTGCTTGTTGTGGAGCTAGTTGTTGACGATGTAGTAGGTGACGACGTGCTGCTAGTTGTTGAGCTTGTTGTTGAAGATGTCGTTGGAGATGATGCACTGCTTGTCGTGGAGCTAGTTGTTGACGATGTAGTAGGTGAAGACGTACTGCTAGTTGTTGAGCTTGTTGATGAAGATGTCGTTGGAGATGATGTACTGCTTGTTGTGGAGCTAGTTGTTGACGATGGAGTAGGGGACGACGTGCTGCTAGTTGTGGAGCTAATTGTTGACGATGTAGTTGGTGACGACGTGCTGCTAGTTATTGAGCTTGTTGTTGAGGTTGCCGTTGGAGATGATGTACTGCTTGTTGTGGAGCTAGTTGCCGAAGAAGTTGTAGGTGACGATATGCTGCTAAATGTTGAGGTTGTCGTTGAATTTTCTAGTGATTTTGTCGACGATGAAGGTTTTCTTCGTCTTGTCTGCCCTTTGACTGTCTCAGCTGAAACGTTTTAATTCAATCGAGCCGCAAGCTTCTTTCACCAAAAGATAAATCAAAGAAAAAAGAAGAAGTATGCCCCAAACAAGACCCCCTGCAGAGTATCTAAAGTTATTTGTTTCGGGAGCTCTTCGTAAACCATTGATTGTTTCAAAAAAGTACGTTTAATATACAATGAAACACTTTAGACTAAAAAATTATATGTTTGAGATGTTTTCAGGGTGCATATAGTTTTTGGGCCCATTTCGAAACAACCCTGTCATCCGGCATGGATTGACAAACGTAGATATATAGTATTTAACTAACTATAATGAGTAAACCTTTTTGTTTGGTCGGTTGATCTTGTAAAGACGTTAAACCAGAGAACACCGTGAGCAAAAGATCAGACGTCAATAAATGGTTTAATCAATCAGTAGTTTTTATCTCGCTTATGTATGACACCTCGTTTATCAATCCGTTTAGATTCAGTAACAGACAGAATCATACACCGCGGTATGACCTGGCGCAGTCAGCAGTATATTCGAAAAACCCGATAATTATTAATTCATTTTGGGAGAAAGCGTCAGCTGAAACACCATTAAAGTGGTCTATATGGGCAGCAATACATGAAATAGCGGTGTTCGCGAAAGATATGAAGTCGAAATAACTGATGAAACGGAGGCACAGAAGAAAAATCTCAATGTAAGGAACCAAAAAAAAGCGAGTCGCTTGGGACTATCGCGTCCAAAAAACCAGAGAAAAGGGAGTCCTGTGTAACTCGTTTCCTTGGGACGAGGTTGATGCAAAACAGTGCCACGTTCAACAAAAGAGGCCAAGCCTCGACTTGCACAGCGTTTCTACAAAAGAGCTCATGAAAATCTTAGAGGGTATCATAGCGTTCGAACGATACATTTTTATGTGTAGAAAACTAAAAAAATGAAAGCCTAGAACAATTCCACGAGGAACTGGTCGAATTGGCGGAGCTTGTGTTTGAGACTTCGTTTATCAATCTGTTTGGATTCAGTAACAGACACGATCATACACCGCGGTATGCCAAACCCCATTTATAGAATGTATCTTCAAATATGCTTTAAAATGAACAAAAACAATCCGATACATTATGGGCACATTGTTTTTTCTTCTTGATTGCTCATTTATATTTAATTACCATCTATATCATCTTACATTTATCTATATTTAATTTGCTATAGCGTGTAATTTTTATGCCAAATTACACTATAGCAGTGTATATACACTATATACACTACTTTTTCAACACCATAGTGTAATAAAGTAAAACCAAACGAGGAGACCTAATGTGAAGAGCAACAGTTAATACTAACTTGCACTTGAACTCGAAGTAGGTCTGAAGGTTGTTTCGATTTTTTCGGATGTATAATTGCAATGCTCGTACAGGTCACTTCGGTTACCCACAAAGGGAGGTTCGTCTGACCCGTCCCCGCAATCATCATGGCCGTCGCAGATCTGCCCTACCTCGATACACACTCCGAATTTGCTGATCATGACGTTGTTCTCAAGGTCACCACACACAACACTGCCCTCGTCGCAGAACGTGCAATTGGCCTCATCTGAGTGGTCGTCATCGCCGCAGTCCATTTCACCGTCGCAAACCTGTGTATCGTAATTAATGAAATGATATAATTCTTGAGGATATCCACAAAGAGCACATGTTTAAGCTTAAGCAAGTAGCAAAGAGAGTTAAGTATATAATGGTTTAAGTGAATAATTTCAAATAGGGAGAAAATTTAAAAAGCGAAATGAAATTTTTTAAAAATGTTACATTTTGTTTCAAGGTTTGATGTTCTTTTTAGATTGAACCTGGTAAAAAACTTCAAAACGAGAGTTAATTAAAACTAAATTAAAGTAAAAGTGAAAGAAAGGACATCCGGTTACTGTGCAAGCAACACAGAATGTTCGGACCATAGTCTATAAAAACGTTTTCATTTTATGAGAGTCAGTTTTTTCTGCGTTCGGGGAGATCGTATCAAGATTTCTGATCGGTTGTAATGATCCAGCCGTGTTCGGGTGTATCATGAAGTTTGACTTTCGTGTGAAGTGCCTAGTGACTTGGATCTGTACGTATACTCAACATCGAGATGGCCATTGGTCTGTTTTAATGGGTTTTCTTTGCTGCGATATCAAGTCGTACTTTAAATCCTTTGAGTGTAGTGACTGTAGGCAGCAAATCGGGTGTATTTGACACTCCGTAGTTGGAGTGTGATTGGGTTGTCAACAGTGCTGCTCGTCTTTGAGCTGTATGAAATCTATATACTGCATTGTATTATATACATATACAGATCTTTGTTAATTTTGTTTATAGGAATGATCTTGTGTTAATAGATATCGCAAAAGCGTTTTTTGTTTTAGTTCGGTTACTTTTAAAAATTGCTCACCCTGGAGCCACTTTTATCAAAAATTGACGGAGTGCTGTAGTGCATGGTGTAGGCATGTACTTCGAGCGGTGTCGTTCTGGTGGGTTAGGCCTGAAGTGGGGTATAATTTCATGCTCTCTTTTTTGTAGGGTCCATTTTATGTTCAACCTTTTGTGCCTATTTTTTTACTGGTTTTTTCCTTTTTTAGTTTGGTTGTGTACTTTTCTCAAAAATCAAATCGTTTGGTTTGGGTTTGACTTTCGACTTTTTTGTAATTTATTTGTTTGTGGTTAGACTTGAAAGTAGTCTTCAAAAGAATAAATTATCCAGTTTCAAGCTGGTTTTAATCCCGTTTGGGTACCGTGGGTTTTATTTTCTTAGTCATGCTGTTGGGCTGTGGTTTGTGATGTTTAGTAAGCTGCGTTGGTTAATTTGGATTTTTATATAATTCCTTTCCAACCGGGTTAAAGGAAAGTTTGAAACGTAGTACAATATGTTAGAGTTGTTATCAGTGAAAGTTAAAATTTGAATTTATTAGTTTAAGCAATTTTCGTGGGCAAGCTGTGCAATTGTGGATAGAATTGTGGGCAAGTAAATGATTTTAAAATTATAAAGAAGCGTCTTTGAAATGGTTAGTACTGCTTTGACTTTTATTTGCAGCTTTTAGAAAATTACTACTATTAAAATATTAATTTTACGGCTTTTGGGGAGTTGAAATTATGAATTTATTCGCTTTGTAGGAATATTTACTGCGTATGTGAAAACACAACAATTTATATATCAATTTACTGCTGTTTGGGGGTTAATTTTTCAGCTTTATTTTTTGCAATTTGTTAATATAAAATTATGATTCCAGAAAAAAGTTTTCAGTTATTTATTTCGATTTTTTTTTTGCAGATGATTATGCTGTGAAGTCTAGAGAAAAAGGTAAAACATTTATTTGGAATGGTTATTGTTTGTTCGAATTCGTTGGTATAATTTATTGAATTCGTATTACCTTATTCATCTGGGAAAAATCCATGAGGAAAAACGTCGTGAATGATTTCTGATGATCTTAGTAGTTTAGCTATCAAGCGGATGATGTATTTAGTTTGGAGAAGTGGCCAAAGCAATTCAAGTGCTTTTATGATTTTGTGCTTTTCGGTGTTAGCTGAGAATTCATATGGTGTATTTTGGATGAGTTTGTAGTTATAAAGTTTGTGGTTATATCTGGTGTTATAGATCAATTCTAGGAGTGGGATTTCGACGGTCTGTAGAAATTCTTGTGAAACTATTAGAGGGCGGTATTCGTCTACGTTGAAGTTTTTGGTCAAGGGGCAGAATATATACATCTGGGTGATCAGATCATAATTTCGGAGGATGCCTTGGGCGGTTAGTATCTTTATTACCTTAAGTGAAGTTAACAAAGAATGGTGATGTATATTTGGAGTTAATGTATTGATATCTATGGAGAAGTTGTCGTGCTGGTGTGATATGAGTGTAATAATGTTGATTGATTTTATAATAAGTGTAAGTGTGCGTCTGTTTAGTGCGTAACATAACGTCGTGTGTACAGTGCAAATCACGTTCTTTGGGTGTGAGGAAAAGAAAGGTTAGTGAAAAATTGTTAAATTTGTTAAATTAGGAGTCATAAGCTTGGATGTTACGGAGTGCTGCTGAAATGACGTGGTCGTACTTTTTATCTAGGCTTTTGAGGGTGAAAACGTATGATGTTTTAATGAAAAATTTTTCTGTTAGTTGTGGGATAGCAAATTTATCATCATCTAAGAAGATGTCTTCGTTAGGTCTGATGATGCGATGATCGTAGTGATCGAGGAAAAAATCGTTAGCTTTAGATGCGGTGAATCTTGTAAGTGCCTATTGATATCCGATTTGAGTAAATTGTTTCAGAGTGAGAGCTGTTGTTAGATGGTAGAGTTAAGTGCTGCATTGTTCATTATCATATGGGGTGTTATTTAGTGGTAGTGACAGTGGGTTAGTTAAGTGATAAAATGATGTCCACGAAAGTGTTGGGTGTAATACGTGTTCATTTACATAATTAGGGTGCTCATCGTTAGGGTCTGAACGAAAGTAGGTTTATTGAGGGAAGAAGGGCAAACATACTTGAAGAAATTCGTTAGTGTTAGTGTGAAGTGGATGATTAACGAATGATTGGGCTGATTTTGGGTGAGATGGAAATGGGGTATTAGGAAATTTCCCTTTGAAAGTTCTATTGGCTCGGTTAGAAGTTGAGGGAGTTGAGTTTGACGAGGAAGTTGGGTTTGGCGAAGGAGTTGGGATTGATGGATTTGTTGATGTTATAGATAGTGAGAGTTGGTGAATTGTTAATGTTTGAGGGTGCTGGAATTGTTGCTGGAGTGTGATAAAGTTGTCAAGTTAGTTAGGTATTTGTGTATTTACAGAGCTGTTGTTGTCGGAAGGTTCGCTGGTCAAGGGGGAGTATGTGGGTGTTACATTAGTTATAGAAGAGTGAGTGGAAGGAGGTTCAATTTTTATTCGGGAGTGAAGAGGTTGAAAAGGGGGTTGATAAAATGTAGATGGGCTGGGTTCGGAGTTGGGAATTTTGTCAGGGGTTTCGAGATCTGAACTTTTAAATTGGGAAATGGTGTTATATACAGTGGTGTTTGAATAAGTATCTGAATCCATGCTGGATGAAGTGTTGGCATGTGGTGATTCAGGTGGGGGGGGGGAAGCAAAAAGTGGGATGACGGAAATGTTGCTTTGAAGGTTGGCTGGGTAAGAAATTATTGAGCGATGGAGTGATCAAACTTGGCGGCTCATCGTGTGCTAAAAAGATGGTCGTTCTGAGAAGAAAAATTTGTGGTGTGTGGTTGTTCTATGATTTGTTCATATGTGTCTTCTATATTAGGCGTTGTGGGTAATTAGATCTTAATCGGGCTTTGTGGGAAATAGATTTTGAAGAGATGTGTTCTGTCAGTGCTATATTTCTGAAATTTCGTGGTACTAAGGATAATGGATGCTTATGATTTAGGGTTTGTAATTGTGGTGCAGTAGGCATTGTATTCGTGTTGTTTTGTGAATTGTCATATGTGTTCGGTGTTGTTGATAGTTTGGTTTTGTATTCTTTTATTTGATCGTCTAAAAGTATTTTATTGATAGAGAGTCCGCTGTAGTCTTGTGTGTAGATATCCGAAAAGCCTGATGTCTGATCTATGGATAGACGTTGTATTGTGTCCATTTTTGTGAGGAGTTCATGAAATTGTTGTGTATGGATGTGGTGTTGAATTTCGGTTTTAGAGTATATGCCGATCGTTTGTAAATCGATGTTAGGGTTTCCGGCGTTAGCTCTAATACTTTCTGGTGAAATTTTTTTTAATAGTTGCATAAGTGTAGGATATGGTGTGAGCAGATAATATTTATCTTCGTCATGATTTAACGGTACAACATTGTGGCTGTTTTCTGATCCACATGGGACGGCTGTGTTCCAAAATAAGTTATTGGCGAGAGTGTCGACAAAGAGTACTTTATTTTTAGAGAAGATTGTGATTCTGGTATAGGATCTTTCATCTTCAAAAACATATAAGGGTGATACCTAATTGGTACAAGTGTAATTCCATAGTATGTTTCCTTCGTATTTTCCTATGAAATTTGATCTGTTTCTTGATAATAAACATCCTGCAGAAGGATTTTTTAGTACTACAAGTGCAAGTGATTGCAGAATTTGTGTTCTTTCAAGTTCGCATGAATGATGTACTGTTTCATGTTCTGATAAAAAAATTTCTTGAAAAATTCTACTTATTGTGTAGTCTAGTTTCATGTCTAGGTGAATATCATAGTAGATTGAGCCAAAATATGTGTTGTTCATAAGTGATAGTTCTTGTAAACGTGTACTGTCTTTGTCTTGTGGTTTCATTTTTCCACCAGTTTGTCCTGTGTTTTTTAGAAGATGTATTGGGATATACGAAATTTCGTCGTTAGTTGAGTGATGTGTTGCATGTTGTATGGTAATTAATCTACCTGTATTAATGTCGAAACCTTGTTCGTATTCGACAAGATTTTCTGAATATTGTGTTTTGTAAAGTGGTTTGTTGTATTTACATCCTCTTTCTGTTTCTGGGTAAATTTGAAAACGTGTCATTTTAGTTTCTATTTTGTGAAAATTTCGATTTTGATAATTATTTCGTCTGGTTTTGTTCGGGTTAACTTCTTCATATGGGATGGACTTATTAAAATCTTAAAAACTTATCATTTTAGCGTGTTTTTTTTGCCACTTGAAAT